TTAGGGTTTAGGGTTTAGCGTTTTATGGTTTTAGGGTTTAGGGTTTTAGGGTTTAGGGTTTAGGGTTCAGGCTCAAAGAACGAACGCGACCGGGAACCGCCTAGCTGCACGAGGCAACCTGAACCATTATGGCTGCTTCAGCGAGATGTGCGATGGCAAGGACGACTACATCTCCGTCGCCGGCCTGTGACCGGCTGTCGTAGGATAATATGTCAGGATTGTAGAAGGGTCTATCTCGAAATTAGGGTTTAGGGTTCAGGGATTCGGGGGTATTCGAATTGGGTTCTCGACAAGGTCTCGCCTCATAGTTGTTTTGAGAGTTGAAAATAGTCGCTTAAGGTTTTTGGGGGCCTAGTTTTCCTGTCTAAGGCTTAGACTTCAGGGCTTTAGGCTTTGGGGCCTTTAGGGTTTAGGGTTGAGACTGACGGGCTTTTGGATCAGAGAGCTTGAGGTTTCAGGGTTCAAGCTGTGTGCCGGGATGCGGCTTTCCGCGGGGGCTCGCGCAGGCCCTTAATTGCAGCAATCGTAGTAATGTAGGAGTAGGAGTAGGAGAGTAGGAGTCGAGGAGTAGGAGGAGGAGCATGATGGGAGTAGGAGTAGTAGCGAGTAGCAGTTGGAGTAGGAGTGCTGCTACAACTCTAAAGTGGCCTTCATCTTCAACTGCACCGCATCTTAGGTTGCCGGAACGTGTGCAGGGAAAACCTGTGGCTGCTGGAAGAGTCATTGGTGTGACGACGTGGTGTTTGGTGACCCCAGCCCCTCGACCTCGCTTGAGGGTGGGGCTGTCGGGTCGTCTCGGTTTGGCTTCAAGGTTCAAGGTTCTTGCTCGGATACCCTTAATCCAAAGCCCTGGCGTTTCAGAAGAAATGCTTACGAAAGTTTCCGTGATGATGAAGATTAAGATGAACATGGACACTTCAATAAATGATGACGCCGATGGCGTTGACGAAAACGCTGATCGATGATGCTAGAAGTGAGGCTGATGACGATGATGGTTATCACGTGATGGTCCCGAGTATTGTGGTGTTGATTCGTCCTATTACGTACACAGGATGCTCTCAGGGCGAGCCTCGTCCTACTATTTACAGAGGATTGTGCGTGCTATGGGTCCCTGGGAGGTGTGATTCATTGTAAACAGCACGACATGGACCATTTTGCTTCTGGACAGCCTTGAAACGCAGCGATACTTGGGGAAGCGATTTCGGGTGTGACTCTGCATCCCGGAGCTCGTTTTCCCGAAATGCACCGGTACTTGGGGGAAGCAACTTTCGGGCTGGTCCTGAAGTATTTTGGGGGCCCTAAACCCTAAACCCTGAACCCTAAACCCGAAACCCAAACCCCTGAACCCTGAACCCTGAACCCTGAACCCTGAACCCTAAACCCTAAACCCAAACTCCTGAACCCTGAACCCTGAACCCTAAACCCTAAACCCTAAACCCAAACCCCTGTACCCTAAACCCTAAACCCCTGAACCCTGAACCCTAAACCCTAAACCCAAACCCCTGAACCCTGAACCCTGAACCCTAAACCCCTGTACCCTGAACCCTAAACCCTAAACCCCTGAACCCTGAACCCTAAACCCTAAACCCAAACCCCTGAACCCTAAACCCAAACCCCTGAACCCTGAACCCTAAACCCTAAACCCCTGAACCCTGAACCCTGAACCCTAAACCCTAAACCCTAAACCCTGAACCCTAAACCCTAAACCCAAACCCCTGTACCCTGAACCCTAAGCCAGTGCTTGTGGCAGTGTGCTCGTGGTCTCCTGGTGCTGTCCTGGGAGTCTCCTGCCAGGTGGTCTGTGTCGTGGTGGTCTCCTGGTACAAAAAGGGGGCCTTAAAAATTACCTATACTATTTTGGGTGGTTCCTCAATATAATTATGACAGAATATACCCCAAAACCCCAAACCCTATTCTAATTATTAAGGCCCCTACATTAGTCATAATTACCTATACTATTTTGGGGGGGGGTTCGTCCTTTGGTGGCCGCTTGTGTCTCTTGGTGCTCTCCTGGTGTCCTCCTGGTGGTCTCCTGGTCGTTGCAAAAAAAAGGGCAACCACTTGCGATTTGTAGGGTTCTCTAAATTAGGGTCCCTTTTTGGGGCCCCAATATAGTACGGCACCTACAAGGGACCCTAAAAGGCTAAAAGGGACCCTAATTTAGAGAACTACCCGTTTGATTTTCCCAAGCACAGCGAACCACCGGCCCGGCGATCTGGACTTCCTGGTCCTAACGGCATGTTTCAGGTATGGTTTTTGTACTGATTCGGGGATACTGACGAGAAGAGAAGGAAAAGTGGTTCACAACGCCAGAGTATCCCATACCACCTCTGTCAGGCCCCATAGAACCCTGAAAAAAGCCGTTGGAAGCACGTGGGGCCCTAAACCCTAAACCCTAAACCCCTAAACCCTAAACCCCCCGAGCCTGCCGAGGGGATCCAGAGCCTTGTGACCAGTCTCTGCTCAACGACGTCATGGACAAGGGAAAGGAGCGCCTTAAACCCTGAACCCTAAACCCTAGGCCTTAAACCCTAAGCCTTAAAGCCTAGGCCCCAAACCCTAAGCCCTAAACCCTAAGCCCTAAACCCTACTAAACTCTAAGCCCTGAGCCCTAAA